TTTGTGTTGCCTTTTATAAGGGAGCTGTTTCCTGGGCAGATTGTTCTCTGTGTAGTGGCTAAAGCAAAGCAGTCACAGCTACCTTGTGTGGTGTGGGAAGGATAGCCCCAAGGTCGATCCCATTCTGAAGGGCAGCAGCCCTGCCAAATGGAGCAGAAGGTACTTCTGGAGGGTACACAGCATATTTGTTTGGCTTTACAAGCAGCAGACTGATCTTGCAAAGCAGTGCCACGCCGTGGGGGTCTGGAGGATACTGTACCTGGAAAGGGAGGTCATCTGTCCAACCAGTCTGCCAGCCAGGCTAGCTCCTCACAGAGCTGGGAGCTCTTGAGTCACCAGGCACGTGCAGCACCACATCTCAGCCCCACTTCTGTGCATCCAAAATCAGCAAGGCTCTGTGGCAGTGGACAGGGAGGTGTCTGGGTGCCTTGGGGACCCACAGGCTTCCTGAGAGCCAGGTCTGTGCCACACGAGAGCACCATCCCTTTGGGGGATGGCCACACCAGGGATGCTGGGATGAGATTTTCCCCTACGTGTAGGTGAGCAGAGCTAAGGCAGAGGCTCTTGACTAGGCAGCGTGTCCACGTGGGTTTTTAATGGATTTGAGGGCAGCAGGTCTGATCCACTCCTGGCAAAACAGGGAGATAAGCAAGGACCAGAAAGTGTTGCCAGGTCCCTTGCCAGTCTCTTGAGTTCACACAGCTGGTGAAAGGAGGGGACTTGCTCCTTTCCAGCAGCCTCTTGCTGCACGTGTTGTTGTTTGGGGATGCACTGTGTGGCAGTGTGGGGTTTTTGCTGGCAAGGTGAATGTCTCCTTGGGCACACGTTCCTGTTGTAGGGAATGGCATCGTGGGCAGAGCACTTGGCACCCTGCAGGTCAGCAATAACCCCAGGGTCACAGCTGCACCACCCACGGGTGGGATGAGGATGCTGGTGCCCAGTCTCACTCCTGGCAAGCAGGATCTGCTCCCAGCCATCTTTTGCTAAGGGCTAGCAACCGTACCCCGATGGCGAGCTGCTGTTTTGGATGTGCTATGGAGACTCCCCAGCAGGAGGGGTGTCTCGGGGGGTGACATTCCCGGGCAGCTTGTCCCCAGGTGCTGCTCCCGCAGCCGGCGTGCTGCGAGCAACATCTCCATCTTGTGGTGGCAGCAGCGTCGGGGCCCCTCTGCTGGCTGTCTCCTCAGCCGAGTGCCCCAAGGCTGCAGGGGAGGAGGTGTGTGACCTGGATATCCCCATCTCCCTGCCCTGGAGCCCTGCGGTGCCCAGACGTGCCCCTCTGCCCCGGCTGTGCTCCAGCAGCAGCCCTGCAGGAGAGCACAGGGGATCTTTGTGCCAGGGGACGTGCTTGTTTATTCATAGGACTGTCCTGCTGGTGGCTGAGGGTCACTGTGGCTCCCAGGATGGGGCAACCACCCCTGGCTGTGCTTCAAGTTTCATTGGTTAGGGCAAGGCATTGCCAAGGCAGGGCTCAGTGTGGGCAGAGAGAGGTAGCCCTTGCTCTGCCCTGGGCTAGGGAAGGCAGCTTGCCCATGGTGAGGCAGTGGCATGTGCCACTGAGGCTCAGCCTAGGCTTGTGACTATGTCCCTTTTCCTTTTGGGTCCCCTCGTGTGAAGTGCCTGGCCCTGACTTTCCACACATGTCACTCCAGGCCTGTCTCACGCCTGTATTCCTGGCTGTAGGGCAGTGGTCTTCAGGAGGCTTAAACCTCACTTCTCAGTGTGGATTTTGGGAATTCATCTGCATGTCCTGGCACAGCATGAGCAGCCTGTGCACTGACCCTGTGCGTCTCCTTGGCCAGAGGAGCACACGTGGCTGCTGGAGGTAGGCAGGAGGCTCACACAGACTGGAGGCTGATGTTCTTGTTCTTCTGTCCTGCCATGTGTTGGCCCTGTCCTGGCAATGATTTTTGGGGATGTGTAGTTGAAGCAGTATTGCTTAGAGTTGTGCCTTTGGACAACAAAACTTCCCTGGTTCCTTTCTGAGATGGATGTCCATAGTGTTTCCCTGCTGATAGTATGTGACCCATGTGTCCCCAGAGCTGTCAAGACTGAGTGGTTGTGTGGAAGCACCAGGAAGGGTAAAAAAGGAGGCTGCCCTCAGCTGCAAGAGCTCTGGGCAGAGCAATGCCTTGTGGACAGAGGTGATGCCTTCCTGGCTGAGGGTCAGAGTCTGGTGTGGATGCAAGGAGGGAGACAGGCTGTGCAATGAGAAGTGCTCTGGGGAGGTGATGAAAGAGGTGGAGTGCAGGAGTCGAGATGTCTGAGGTGTATTGATGCCCATGTGTGGCACAGCACAGAGCTGCTGCAAGGAGCCACCTGCCTGTTTGGCTGGGAGTGTAGGCATGGGCCAGCTGAGGAGCTGGCAGGGGGTGGAAAGCAGCATGTAGGTGGGATGAAGGCTCTACTGGACTCGGGCTGCCCACGGGCTCTGATGCAGCCAGATTTGGCTGTTGGGTGCCTCTTGCTCTCCAGGTGTCTGCCCAGGGACTGTCCACCCCAAGGCAGGCATGCACCTGAACCCCCTGGCTGTTACTCCTAATGGATCTGTGCATGTGGGGTTTTGGCATCAGTGAGGTCATTGCTGTGCACTGGGCTCAGCAAAGGGGGAGCAATGGGGTGACAGAGGGCCTGGGGCTCCCCCCAAGGGTCTGAGGTTGTGGGGGCATTGGGACCCTGGTGAGAACAGAGGTTTGCAAAGGTCAGCAGCGTTGTCGCCGTGTTTGATCTGGACCTTGGCAGATCTCTGGGCTCCTGGTTAATCAGCAGACAGAGGTCAGGGTTCTGTGCACGTCAGGGAAGGTGTCACAAAGCAGAGCGTGGCCTGGGCAGGGGACCACACCAGCAGGAGAATGGGACCCCCAGGGTGGTTAGTGTGGGGGATCCTGCTGGTGACCTCTCACCTCAGGGACAGCTGAGATAGGGTGGAGAGCAAAGTGTCTGTTGCCATGGCCCACAAGGGTGTCTTCTGTCCCTGGTGTGGGTGGCACAGCTACCATGACAGGCATGGTTGCTGCATGCCCAAGTGCTGGCTTCCCTAAGAAGCAACAGCAACTGCTGGCTCGTGTTCAGTCTGCTGTCCACCAACACCCCCAGATCCTTTTCCACCAGGCAGCTTCCCAGCCACTCCTCCCCATGCCTGGAGTGGTGCCTTGCCTTGTTGTGACCCAAGTGCAGGACCCAGCCCTTGGCCTTGTTAAACCTCCTACAGCTGACCTCAGCCCACTTCTCCAGCCTGTCCAGGTGCCACTGCAGAGCCTCCCTACCCTCAAGCAGATTGATTGGCTTGTGGTTTCTGCCAGTTGTGTCTATATATCAATTCATCAACCTCTTCATTCTGGTTGGGTGGTCTACAATAGACTCCCAAGAGGATATCCACCTTGTTGGCCTGCCTCAGCTTTACCAATAAATATTTTTCACCCTTCTTGACCTCCTTGCAATCGAGACACTCCCTAATCGAGAGCCACCCCATTGCCCTTTCTGTCTTGCATGTTCTCTTGCTAGATGTCCTGGTCTGGGGTAGAACAGAGCTGGTTCTGTTCACTGATTTAACTTTTCAGCTCAAGCTCTTCTAATTAACTGCCTTGTCTGAAGTTAGCAGCATGTTTTTGCAGCCTGTCTGCTTTTAAGCAGTGATACAACATGTTGAGTTACTGCCAGGGGCTGGTATGCAGACCAAGGTCACTTCTAAGCTTGTGAACCACACTGAGTGGGGCAGAAAGTAAAGCCATGCCTGCAGGGAGGAGTGGGCAAGCTAAGTGACCCTAAAATTGACCAATGGGTATTGCATCCTGTATCTCACATTCAGTAAAAGCTGAAGGATCAGGAGGGGCAAGCCATGCAGGGCAGGAAGTGACAGGGGTGTCACCAAGTCTCGGAGGCTCTTGGTGTCTGTACCCTCTGTGTGGAGGGGTCAAGTCCTTTTGGCTGACCCCTGGAATAAGTCTCCTTCCTGGCCTGGCAGTGGGTGGTGTTTTCCCCATCCCCTTTGCTGTTTTGGCAGGAGGGGAGGGGGCAAAGTGTGTATTTGCTGCCAGAATGGCATGGGGTGAGCCTGTTATGGGCGTTATAGGGGAGAAATGGGGCACCCTGGCAGGCTGTGCATGGCCTTGGGAGCGAGGGTGAAGGGACTAAATGCCAGCCAGTTTGGCAAATAAGATTTATTGAATGGGGGTTGGACCAAGGACGGGGGACTGGGTTTCAGTAGGAAGCACATTGGGCATTAAGGGGGAAAGCCATCCACGAACTCTTGAGCGAGGAGAAGCTCCCACCCCTCACCTCTAGGCTCCTGCTCATCCTCTTCCCCTCTCCATGTTCTTAGGGAGCTGGAGGAACCCACAGGACTCCAAGCACACGTTTGTCCAGGCTGGGACACGTCCATGGAACATCCCTGGGCGTAAGGGAGGAGAAGACCACGCCGGAGTCCCACCACGTCTGGAGGCCAAGCCCTCGCTGCACTGAGGAGCCAGAGAGGAGCTGCACTCTCACCCAAAGGTAGGAGATTGCGGCTTTTTTTCGCGACACACAGCTCAGAAACAACAACTAGCATCAGCAGCCTCTCGACTCATCCCGATGGACTCCGTGATGACGGCAGCGAATCAACCACCAAGGCACCCAGCGTGGATGGATGGATGGAGACCCTGCCACGAGCCACGTCAACGTTCCATTTATGCCACAATATTGTTTTATTTGTGCCATGTTACTGTTGTTTGTGCCACAGGATTGTTCTTTTTTTGTAAAGCAGCAGCACAATAGTAAAGCAGCACGGAGACCTTAGCAGAGATCCAGGGGCAGCTGGGAGGGGGAGCGGGGCAGAGCTAGGCCAGGTTCCACTCTTCCAGGAGCAGGGATGAGCCAGAGCACGTGCTGAGAACCACCCTGTGCCGCTCGTGCTGTCAGGGGACCGGGGCTCTTTGTCCATGGGGAAGCAGCCTCAGTGGCCAGGGAGGAATTGGATGAGAGATGGCCAGGGAATCTTGTCCCAGACTGAGGAGGGAACCCTACTCAGCCTTGTCGGCCAGGGAGCCGTTGGCTACCCCCGCGCCCTTCTCGCGGAGCTTGCGCAAGTAGTCGTGGGGGCCTTTGCCCTCGAAGGCCGTGGGGCTCTTGTAGGAGCCCCCAATCTTGTCCCAGAGGGTGAAGTACTGCCCGTAGTTGTAGTCGAAGTACAGGTGGTGGTCGGTGTGGTGGGCAGAGCCGTTGATGACGTGCCGCAGGAGGCGGGGGACGCGGTAGTCGCCGTCGTGTATGGAGATGGTCCAGACGTTGACGAAGATGTAGAGGCCCAAGTAGGTGACTTTGTGCAGAGGGAAGAGGAAGGGGTAGACATGGTAGGGCAGGCTCTGCATGAAGCCGTCGACGGGGTGGAAGGCGTGGCTGGCGAAGGGCGTGGCGATCTTCCAGAGGTGGTGGGGCTTGTGGAATCGCTGTGGGGAGAGGGGGTGCTGTCAGGCCTTGGGGCAGAGGCAGGCACGGGGCTTGTACAGGCCGGCCTCTTTTAGGGGTCCCCTGGCCAGGAATGGACTTGCTGCCAATAGATCCTCCCCTGCTTTCCTGTAGGCCCCTCCCAGGTACTTGAAGGTCACTATAAGGTCCCACCAGAGCCTCCTCTTCATCTCACCACACCCCATCAGCATTCCACTCACTGTCCTCCAGTCAGAGGCCATTCCAAATAGTGTGTGCTGACACTGTGGCACAGGCTGTCCCCATTGTTTGTTTTGCTGTCTCCTCCTTTCATGGCTCCCGGGGCAC